TGGGGGGCTCGCTGCACGCAGTCCGCGGGGGCCTGGGGTTGGCGAGGGGGTGCTGAGGCCTGCGAGTAGGCTGTGTGTGATTTCCGTTCCACCGCAAAGGAGAAGCCGTAGCGTAGTTGCTGTGCCGTGCCGGTCCTGGGAATCTGAGCCTGTGAATTAACTTACTCATGGGAACGGTGCACTGGCCCCATGTCACTGTGTAGTGCCTAGAAGCAGTATGTATAAGTTGTTCCCTCTCCTGAGGGGTGACAGTTTCCCTCAGGTGATGTCAAGAGTACTTTTAAGTACTTCAGAGATTTGTTTGCTGGCAGGGCATTTATATTATGCTTATTGAGGATTATTTCTTTCTTATTTCTAAAATCCTAATCCCTCCAAGGAGTCCAACATGGAAGAGTTTAAAGATGCAAGTCCACCTGAAGAATTACTTGATCACTTAAAGCTTTCTGATGAGAAGTCTGCAGAGACTGGCCCCAGAGATGTGCAGAATCCCCAGAACATTGAAAGTGGATATACACCATCTTCAGCCAAAGATCCCACAACAGCAGATGAGTGTTTCCATGACTGTCACGACTCCTTTGAGGCCAAAGAACCTCTGCTGGATGATGAAGGGAGTTTACAGAATGATGAGAGTAGCTCAAGGAAGCAGACAGAACTAGATGAAGAATACTTACTAGAACTAGAAAAAGATATGCCAGAGGAAGAAAAACAGGTAATCTAAAGTACCAATGTTGAACATAAGAAGATATATTTTCAGTGTCACATTTCTGAATGGTCTGTGACTGGCATGAAAACTCTCTTATGTGTCTAGTTTTACTGTTCTTACTTTCTTCTTTTAGGTACAAATATTTTTGTTAGCTTTCCTTGCTGTTCTTAATCATCGCATTCCATTGCAGATTTTTGTCCACTTTGACCACTGTGTAAGGTTACTGTGACTCAAGAGAGATTATAAGAAACAAAAATCTCCCTGTTCCATGTTATTTAGTTGTGCATATTCGTTGTTTTCACCCGATTAGCTGCAAGGTGCTTTTCCAAAACTCTGAGCAGTTTCAGGGTAGTTTCAATATCTGAAAGGCTAGTTTATGTAATACGACTCACTGGGATTAAATTTGAAAGTATCCCTATAGATTACTTAAGCTTTAAACAAACAAAACACATCAAATGTGTGGATTTGTTTACTTTCAGTGTGGTTACATTGAACAAAATGTTTGGGTAACAAACCGGATAATGTTGTGGGAAATAACAAAATAGGTCTCAGGGGAAGCCAAACAACCTCTGTAATGGTGTTTACTCCCCTGTAAGTTTGTGTGAACCAGTTTTTTTGACCTCCAGTCAGTGGTGTCACTTGACAGCAATTACTTTTCAGGGTTCTGAGATATTTTGGTCATTAAGTAGTTAAGAAACAAGATAGAACTTTTTTTTTTTTTCCTAACTTTGAGAAAACTTGTTAAATTAGTTTCAGGATGAGACTCTTCACTTGAGTAATGCAGTGATTTCTGCTGGTAATTGTGTTCTCATAGCAAATGGTGGAAGGCTTCCTACTGATTTATGGATTTATTTATTTTTTCCTAATTTTTTTCAACTTTAGTTTGCAAGTGATGGGGGAGTAAAGGTATTAAGCTAAAATCTGTATCCCAACATCCAACTCTTGTAATTTTTTTTGGTTTTTGAGCACTCTATTTTTGACAAGTTATATAGCTTGGCCTCTTGAACAGTTCATGTTTCAAAGAACTCATCAAGCCTGTTAAAAACTGATTGAATTATCCAAATGAGCGGTTTGAAATTTGAAAATTGAAATAGTGACAAAAAGTACTACTATATTCTCTGGCAGTTGAGGAAAAGATGGAATTATGACATCTTAACGTATATAACGAGAAGAATTCAGTAAACTTTATTTTATAGTCCTGTAGGCATGAATTAGATCTTATTTTAATAAAGGAAATAGAGTCCTTACTGAAAGGCTAACTGCACAATTTGGATCATAGGTAACATTGAATAGCTGATTATGATGAGGGAAGGAGAGAGTGGAATAAGGAATGGTAGCTGACAAGAGAAGGTAAGCAGCATCTTAGGAAAGTATTATTTCATAAGGGAAGATAGCATAGTGTATAGCTGTATAGTTTTTATTCTGGAAACTCCCAAATCACCAGGAGCAGTAGAAGAAATTACTACTGTGATGGACAAGTACTACAAAAATGAGGCATTTGATGAAAAAGAAGAAATGAAGGGTCATCTCAAATTAATTTTTTTAAAAGTGCTTAAAACGTTATGACACTGTTTCAGTGAATTTATAGGGCTTATTGCTATTTGGTACAAGCAGGCTGATCTTTTCTAATTCAACTGACTTGGTAAAGCTGGACCATGCTTTCCTAACTGTTGGCTAGCCCTGTCTGTGTTGTATAAGTAAATAAATGCTGGCTATACATTGCCCAGAAAAGTTGGAAAGAGGGAGGGGCTCATCAGTAGCTTGACTACACCGTGGTCTTACTGCCCGCTACTGTAATTAGAGATGAGTGGCAGAAATATGCAGAACTAAGATGCCGGAGGCAACCAAACATCTAAATTGTTTGTTGCAAACCAGTATAGAGAAATTTAATCAAGTTGTGACTCAAATACTTTCCTTGCTGGTAGGGAGTGATTTCTGTCCAAAATACATCAGTGAAGACAAAAAGGTGGGTTTTCATCTGTAGTACAGATTGTCGTGTTAATGTAGAAGTTACTTGAGGTGGAAAAGCAATATGGGACTAGTGGGGAAGTGGAACATGGAATATAATGTCCTTGAGGTAGGAAAGAGACTAAATGTAACTCTTGTCTGTTGCTTCATCTTGTGGGAATCACTTCATATTGCTCACTCTCTTGTCTCAATGTTGACATCTGTAAAATGGTGTATCCTTTGCTCCAAAAGGGCCTCTGGAGAGGTCATCTAATGCAACTCCCTGCTCAAAGTTACATAAAATACATCAGGCTGCCCAGAGCCATGCAAACATTTTGGAGCCTGGAGATTGCACAGCCTCTCTGGGCCCCTGTTCTAGTGCTTAACTACCCTCATGGTGGAAACTTTTTTTTCTCATATTTAATTAGAATCTCCTTTGTTGCAACTTGTGACCACTGGCCCTTCTTTTTCTGCATACCTCCATCTCCATTTTCTCTAGCAATGAGATCTCCCCTGAGCCACTGTTTCCTGAGGCTGAACAAACTCAGTTCTTCTACCTGTCTGCTTAGGTCACGGTCTCCAGTGTACTGACGATCTTGGGGGCCCTCCGCTGGACTCCCTCTGGGAAGTCGATGTCTGTTTTGGTTTTGGTTTGTTTGGGGGTTTTTTTTGTATGGAAGGGACTCCAAAACTGGGCACTGTCCAAATGCAGTCTCTCAGGTGCTGAACAGAGGGCAATAATCACTTTTCCTTGACCTACTCGCTACACAGAAAAGCCATTATCACATTGTCTTTGTGTCTCTTTCCAGTTTAGACTAAACAGTTCCTTTTTTCTATTTGTATTTATTGCTTGTACAACAAGGAACATTGTCATCATGAGTCACGATGAGACTTCTGCAGCAGCCTATAATTTGAAGGCAACTTGAGAGATTCATAGACAAAATGCTAAAAGCTGAGGGAAAATTAAATTGTAGAATTAAACTCTGGAAGGAGCAGCAGGCCTGGAAATTGTGTGTCTTAGTTTTCGTGCTGCTCTTGTTTCTGTTGTATTGTTAGGTAATCATTTAATTTTGCACATCAATTTTTGCCTTCTGTAAAGTGAGCAAAAGAATTGTGAATGTTGGATACTTGCGTTCAGCTTTCTGGAACTCCATCGAAAGGTGCTATGGGCGTACAAAATAACTGTTCAAAGCTGGAAAGGTTTCCTTACAGAAAGTGTGTAGACAGCTGCAGTTCTCGTCTTTCTGTAGGTTTATTTCCAGTGGTATTGAGTAATTGTACCTTTCAGGTTGGTTTATGATCATACCTAATGGAATGGAGGGATTGTATCTCTTAGTATCATCATAGCTATTAGATTGGCAATACTTATATTGTGAACTTTGTTCCACAGAGAGTTTTCTGAGTGGATTATATAAACAGTCTTTAAAATATAACTGTTTTTTTCTCTAGCAAAACATTGTTGGTATCCAGAAACTAGAGATTAATTAGGAACTTGCAGCAGTTGTTATGATTATTGAAGTAGTCCATTTGCATGGTCTTATCCTGCATCGCCTTACATTCTGTGTGTAGTGAAACACTGGGGATGGGTCATTCCTGAACTGCTACTGCAACTTTTCTCATAGTATTTGGAAATGATGGCTACAAATTTATTTTTTAAAGTGAAACTTTCTATATATTTGATTAGGAAAAGAAATCTGTTAAATGATGCAGCTTTTAAGAAAAAAATACTGCAGTTATCGCCTGAAAACAGCTGCTGTACATCCATTTATTTTTCAAATATTTTAAACCTCCTTCCAGTTACTCAAAAGGTCGGTTTTTGAGAAGGGCAATGTGATTTTTTTCTTTTTTTTTTCAGGTGGAGAGAATGAGGGAGAAATATTCAGAACTTGTTTATTTGACTGTTTAGGTTATGACCAGACACTCAGCAGCAGTGCTGTGTTTGCTACTTAGGCAGTCCTTGATCAGTTATTCTCGGCCCCCTGCTGCCTTCTTCATAGTGCTAGCACACCTCTCTGTGTGAATGTGCAGTGAACCAGTTACGGGGAATGATTCAGATGAAAAATAATGCTGTATTTTTAGATCAAGGGCAGTGCTGGTAAAAGTAGACATCAAATGGCAGCCTCGTGATGGCATACAGAGGTAGATGGATTTTCTTCAATTAGACTACTTGCCTAAATTAGAAAAACTTCGTATAAACTGTGGTTGTAGGTACTCAAGTCATAAGGAGAGCTGGATGTTAGCCCTGCTCAAATGAAATTTATGGAGCTACACCTTAATAGTTTTGTAGTTTTGTTTATAAACTAAGCCCATTGTTATGTTTAGCAGCTTTAATAAATCAGTTCTTCTGAGTGATGTTCTCCAATAAATAGGCTGTAGAAAAGAAAGTCTCTAATTTATTCTGGAGATGCAAAGACAGATTCTAGTCCTTGATCTGTGTATTTATGTGTATTCTATGCGCAGGCTTTCATGGTAGGAGGTCTGAGTAGAAATTCTCACCCGCGTAGAAGCTGTTGCAGAGATCAAAGTGAAGGAGCAAGTGGTTGTGTATTTTCTCTCAATTATATTTTGAGAGCCCCATACAGTGAGATTTCTAATTCTAAACAACAGGAATTACTTCCAGCATGTAAGAAGTCGTCTCTGCACAAAGAAGCAAAATAAGAACTTGAAGGGATGTTAAGACACAAACCTGCAAGAAGTATTCTTCAAAACAGATGTAGCATAGACCCTGGTTACTTGCCTGGACTTGCAACTCTGAGCTTTTTAAGAATTAAGCAGCCTGAAACAAAATTCACTTTTATAAGATCGTTGTTTTTGTTGTTTCAAAAGCATGCTGATTGCTGCCTCAGCAGAGGCACTGAGCAGTAAATTGCTTTTGATGCGTTACAAACAGATTTTTCTGGTTAGTTGTCATTGACAGTGATGGCTTTGACGTTGGTCTAGTCTGCAGAATTAATCAGAAGACACCCAACAGCTGTTACATGGTAATTGTTTCAGTCTGACAGGGTCCTCTTCTGGAGGGACACCCATTAATTAAGAGTTTATCCAGCAGCAAGATTCTG